AAACTTAAAAACCTTACGAGCAATTGTGATGATACCTCTATCTACGCAGCTTTTTAGAAGACAACCTAACAGTTGTCCAGTGAATAATTGATTTATTTTTATCACTATAATTGATGATTTGCATGTAACAATCCCGGGAAGGGCTATTTTCACTTGAAAACGTATTTCCATCTATATTTATAAGTGAAAAGCTTACTGTTTGACATCGGGCTCTCAGAGGTGGGTATCGAATCTGAAAGCTGTAATCCTAATGATAGCAATTTGAGACCTTTTTCTGCCTCTAATTTAGCTCGTCATAAAGACATTATAATTGTTCGAAACATTTAAATTTCTTAATAAAGTCTAAAGGAATACTATATAAATTATAGAATTGAAGTACTTATCCTTCAATGAGTTATAAATTCTTTATATTTTGGCGTTTAATATGATGAAAACAACTTACAATAAAAAAGTGCATTTACAAGATTCAACCTGGCGTGCATAATGACTCCTTAAAATTAAATTTTTCGATAGCTTGAACAAATATTCTGTTAAAATAAAATTAAAACCTAAATAAAAAATAACATGTTCTTGAATAGCAAAGCAGTTTTCACAAACCTGTGTTGCAAACCTTAAAATAAACATGTCCAGTTCAGGATCTCATATTTCAGATGTGCTGATTCATTGTGATTAGGATTAGTGATATTTATAAAATATATTTGTCATTAAGAAGACCGTCCAAATTTCAACCATCGAACATCGTCAATTCATCACGTTTGTTGTACAGACTCGAAATAAAGTATTGTGAAGTATTGGGTTGGGTCACGAAGTGGAATCTATAGCACATGATAATAAAAACTGCATTTTTAGAATATTTTGGGCGCTTGCACATATGGACTGACGCAATACGAGCAAAAAACATATGTGATGCATACTGTATTCCCAATCCGGCCTTGCCATTTGTTTCGGAATGAATTGAAGAATCATTTCAAATGTCCTCTTTTAAGTCCCAAAACGCTTCAAGTAAGCATATTGAGAAAATACGAGTCTAATTTGAAGTAAACTAGTGGTGCATGGCATCGTGCCTTAAGGCAAACTGCTGGAACTTACTGAAAACTAAATTATTAAAAAAAAATTGTAAAACTTTGAAAAAAATATTTTTTTTTTTAATTTTGAAATTTTTGAATAAAAAATGACTTTTTTGAAAAATTAAATTTTTCAATATTTTGATTTTTTTTAAAATCAGCGGAGAAACTGGACCTTCCTTTACAAAATTACTTACTTTTACTTTACTTTTTGCCGCGTATCTCCGAAACGGTTTTTGCCTTTGCCAAAAACTAATCAGCACGTCTCCTTATCAGTATGAATCGAATTTAGAAGGTTTTTTGAATTATTCAAATCGGTTGATCCGTGTTCGCAAAATCGTCGGCAAAAATTTGTATCCGCACTCTCTCACACACACATGCATTTTTTCTGAGGTATGCCAAAATGTTCAGAAAGTTCTGAAACGTAAAGATATATAAAAATTTTCATTTTCGATTTTTTTTGTAATTACTATAACTTACCCTACGGGAAGTTTTGGACAGCAATCAGAATCTAATGATTTTATGCATAAATCTGAACTTTAACAACGAATGGTCGATCTATGATATATTTGTATTAGTAGAACTACTCTAATATTGATGATATATTTTTAATTTAATGCAGCAATACCGCAATAATGCAGCAATACCGCAATAATGCAGGAAGGGTTATTTTTACTTTGAAACATATATTAGATTTATATTTTCAAGTAAAAAAGTATATCTACTACTCGATATCATATTGGCCAAGGTAGGAATGAAACCTGGAACCATGTGACTAAATACATTAACGATGAGCCAACGACAAGCACTATTCCCAATACATGAACAAATAAGATATAAAATTTGATGCTTCTTGTATATGTAAAATATGTATTATTTGTAAACTTCCCTTAAAAAACGTAATGTTTATGATTGATTTTATAAAATCCAAATTGATAATTTTAAGTTTTCTCGACATTTCAAACCATTTTGAATCATTTGACACAGAAATTAGAAAAAAAATGGGTATTGTAAAATGTCAGTTCATCCAGATATTTTTTTCGAGAAGATATAGATAAAGATAACTTAAAAACAAATTAAATGAATTTTAGAATAATTTTAACATTTTTAAAAAATAGTAAAAAATTAAATGGTAAAAATATTAACGATATCATCATGTATTGTTCAATAAAAAATAATCCAAATACATATATTAAAATGAATTAATAAAAATACCTTAACATTATCGACCATTATTTTCTTTTTTTTTCTAAATTTTATTTTTATATAGAATCTAATAACTGAACATCTGTGTTTTATAGAATTGCACATTTTGAATATAAAAAATATGAATAGGAATATTTTCTTAGACTTTAGAGAGAATTGCTTTCTAAACAAATCGAGAATTGATTACTGAATTTGACCTCTAGATAGAATTTATAATCAATATAGAGACTTAAAATTATGTCTTTTTTCAATAAAGACAAATCGATTATGACTATGCAAAATCTTTTTGGCCTGACAAAAATAGAGTAGATAATAATTAAGTAAATAAATTGGTTACAAATAATAAGTTAATTATATAGATAAAGATATAATGCACTTCTAGCTAAACTTGCATTATATAAAATTCCAATTTTTTAGTACAGAAAATATCAAGAATTTTTTTCTATGACCTAAAATTTATCGACAATTGTTTACTGATTTTTACTTTTAGATGGGATTTAGAATCATTGATTAATATACAGATATATTTCCTTCTCAAATAGAAACAAAAGACTGTGGCAAACAAATAAAAAGACCTTTTAAAGTAACCCTTTTGGTTTAACAGAAAAAATATTTAACCACAAATTAAACAAACTGGCAACAAACTTAAATAAACATAAATTTACTATAGATAGAATTTCTAGCAAAATCTGTAATAAAATACACTTCTAACTAAACACCTGCGTTGCATAGAACTTTCGTATTTTGAATATAAAATATATCAATAGGATTTTTTTTCTGATCTCAAATTTATCGATAATAGTTTACTAAATTTGATTTTTAGATGGTATGTATATAGGATAATTGAATAATATACAAATTTAAACCGACATCTTTTTCGAATAAAAACAAAAAGACTGTAGCAAAAGAACAAAAAGACAGGAAACGGATAGCAGGCTATAGAATTCATTATTTTGAATATGCTAAATATCAATATGAATAATTTTATCGACATTTGTTTGTTAAATTTGATTTTTATATAGGATTTAGTATCACTGATTAATAATATATAATATACAGATTCAAAAACATAACCTCTTCGAATCACCAGAAGAATAAAAAAACAGCAAAGCAATAAAAACTGTAACCCTTTTTGTATGAGCAAAAAGAAAATAAAGAATAACGTAAACAAACTGGCTTACAGGTAAAAAGCAAATTATATTGATACAGATAAATTCACTATAGATAGAATTCCCTGCAAAGTCTGATGGTCTGTAATAAAAACACTATCTAGACAACTGTGTTTTAAAGAATTCTATATTTTGGAAAAGAAAAATAGGAATAATTTTTTCTAACATCAAATTTACCGACAATTGTTTACTAAATTTGACATTTATATGGGATTGAGAATCATTGATCCAAATACAGATTCAAAAGAGTAAAAAGACAACAAAATGATAGAAATTAAAACTTTTTGGTTTGTCAGAAAAAAATAATGAGAGCAATAATAAAGTAAGTAAGTAAAGAGTAAATTATATTTATATAGATAAAAATAAATTATCTACAGTAAAATTGTTAGCAAAATCTGTAATAAAATTCACTTCTAACTGAACACCTGTGTTTTATAGAATTTCATAGCTGTTTATGGAAAATATAAATAGGAATAATTTTTTTCAACCTCAAATTTATTGGCAATTGTTTACCAAATATGACAATTAGATGGAACTGAGAATCATTGATCAAAATATAGATTCAAAATCATATCCCTAGACAATATTAGAATTTAATGTATTCATATCCATAAGAGTAAAAAGAAAACAAAATGATAGAAATTAATACTTTTCAGTTTGACAGAAAAAAATAATGAGAGCAATAATGAAGTAAACATACTAGCTTACAAATAAAGGGTAAATTATATTTATATAGATAAAGATGAATTCTCTACAGTAGAATTGCTAGCAAAATCTATAATAAGATACGCTTCTAAGTAAACAACTATGTTTAGAAATGGAAATTATAAATAGAAATATTTTTTTCTAACCTCAAATTTATTGGCAATTGTTTACTAAATTTGACATTTAGATGGGACTGAAAATCATTGATCAAAATAAAAGAGTAAAACGTCAACAAAGTGGTAGAAACTAATACTTTTCGGTTTGGCAGAAAAAAAATAATAAGAGTAATAATAAAGTAAACAAACAGGCTTACGAATGAAAAGTACGGATGGAGATAAAATCAGTGATCTCTCATGAGCTGTTGAATCCCTTGCAGATGACCACAATAAATAAAAACAGACCACTTAAAATGTATTACAATCCCCAGTTTTAATCAAAATATTTAGTTTCTACCATTGTTTATATGTGACAAGTACAAATAAACGAATGCGAGATTGGAGGTTTCACCAACACATAATCAATATCAGATGCATATTAAACTCTAGCCATGCTTGAGAACTAACAGACTGATTCCAAAAATATATTATGACTAGTACCGTGAGTCTGACGTTTACACACGAATACTAAATAGATTTAATTAACGAACCGCGCCCGTTAATAGAAAAAACACTTAACTTCACGAAAAAAATACATAGTGAAAAAAAAACAATTCAAAATGTCAAAGGATAATGGACCGCCAATAATATTTACATTCGCTTATACAAAATGGCGAAATTATATGACATTTCACTGACAGAACACTGATGGCATTGCTAACAACACACTTTATTAACTAATAAACTGCTGAATTACATACCTTTTATTATCACAACACTGAATAAACAAACAAATTAAACTTATTTTGACACTACTTTTGCACTATCTAGCACAGGCGATTGAATGGTTAGCTTTAGTTTTACCCGTACTCAATCATTAGACACAAGCGCTGTCGTCGTCGTCAAATTAATTACACATGGGGGTATACGCGGTAGGCGCAATTCTTAAAAATCCTCACAATTTTTTGTTCACGTGAATAACATAATTCTACAACGAAATTATTTTGACTACTTTACGTTTGTTCGGTGTGTTATGTTATTGTTTCATTATCTAATAAAACTTAATTTTGCATGCGTTTTGTGGGATGATACATTAGTAGGTGGGCATGAGGTCACTACTATAAAAGGTAGCGATCGTGTCATGACGCAAAACGTTGTGCTTTTCCTTATTGGGAACCTACAAATCTTGGAAATTAATTGATGCATATGAATATGATACTATTATTATTTTGTAAGTAGCCTAATTTTTAATTCGTAACACGACATTTTTACACACACACACATACATATCAGGGCGTAGCGTTCCTTGGCGAGGCCCGTATCAAAATTGTTGGGCCCCCCCTCAAAAAAATTTTTTTTTTACCAAATATAAAAATACATAAAATTAGAAGAAATTTATTTATCTATCTAATTTTTTCTAAT